AAAGAACAATGTAGAAATCTGCAGTCTGAACAAAATATGCTGAAATGCACTGAATGAGTACAGCAATCCCAGTCATTGCTGGAGTTTATTTTGGGGAGTGAACACTTCACCCTCTGTATGGGACTGTGGTGACATGAAATAAATTGGAACTATTAATCTTATACCATTTTACAATCATCATATTCCTAAACATGCTTTTAAATAAAAAAAAAAGAAGGACCAGGGGGTGGGGAGACAACAAAACTGCTCTAGAAAGCTCAGGTGCTACATCACTTCTCTCCAGTCATATCTCAAATTGCTTCCACAATTAAATAGGTTGGATAGAGCTCTGTAGGTGGTCATAGCTATTATCTTGTGAGCCAAAGCAGCAATGCTGTGCATCAGGCTGCCTTTTCACTGAAGTGTGTGCACACTTAAAAGGTTATGATGGGATCCATGGAGTGTAAGGAGATCCTCTGCCCTGGTTTGGCTACAGTGACCAGGGCTTTAGGTTTATGTTTCAAAATGAGAAAGTACTGAAAGTGAAAAAAAAAAATACACGTAAGAAAGTTAAGCAGAGTTTTTAAAGCAAAACATGTATCTTAGGCTACTTTTTGTTAGGCCATTTCTGAGGTGAATTTCTGTAGGCTGCAAGAACCACATTATTCTGTGATAATATTCTCTTTGCCTTATGTGTATCCAAACACAAGTCATTGGTTTCCTACCTGGTGTGCAGCTGATACCTGACTCAGATGATTTGTGGACAGGCAGGTTGCTGATCTTGGGTCATGAGAAACTCACTATGAGATTCCTTCCTGTAGGGCTGTGCATTTTTTATATGGAAAAGAGTGAGGAAGAGTTGAATATACATAGATAATGCCATTTCCAGTTAATTTAAAAGGCCAAGCAGTGGTTTTTTTAAACAATGCTATACCTTTCTAAGCAATGTTCAAGAAAGATAGGGATATATTTAGAAGATAGATGTTTCAATTTCTGGCTCCCCAAATGTGACATAACAACACTATAAATTTAAATAGGATGAGGCTTTAATGGGTCTCCTAGAGGAAGAAAAAAAAAAGGTGTTTATTAGTAGAAATGTACTAAACTACCTGCATTTGACAAAGTGCTAATGGAGGAAATTAATTCTAGCGAAACAAATGAAAATGTCAATTAAAAAAAAGTAATGGCTCTCCCAGTTGGGGGTTGTGGTTTTGTTTTTGGGTTTGTTTTTTTCTTAAGAGAAGTGCTGGGTATGTTTTTTTGTGTTGCTTGAGAAGCTTTTGATTTGTCTGTGTTGCCTTAATTCTGTGCACGTTGTGGGGTTTTTTTGGGGACATTTCCCCCTCTGGATCTGTATTTCATTTAGACTGGGGGCTAATTTAATATTCTGGTCTAATGCTTTTTCTCTAGTATATGTTTTATTTTGGCAAGAAAAGGTGTCCAAGAGCACAGTGCCTGCACTTACCACCTTTGACTTACATAATGCTCAAATGACTGAGGAACAAAGAATTAATAAACCCCTTTAATGCTGGGGAGAATGGGATTAGAATGGAGACAAACAGCTCATGAGTCCTCACTCTCTAATACAAGGAAATAATTTTAAGATGACACTATCTATCTCAAGGTGCCACTGGAATAACGTGGTGGATGTGGGAGCTGCCAGTGACTCCTTGTCTTGTGTGTGGGGCTACAGCAACCCATTCCCATCTTGGGCCTTACATATCTGGCCATGAAAAGCTTCCTTGTCTGTTTTCAGTAGCTGTCTCATATTTGCATAAGAAATTTGCCTATCAGCTGGATGTTGTTTTGGTAGTGGCAACTGGGATTGGCACAAACCACCTTGCTTTGCACACCCATCTATACCTGTCAGGGATGTGGTGCATATCTATCAGTATAGAGCAAGAAGAGAAAGACATTCCTAGTAACTAGAGAATATTAGTGAAGTGGAAATTCCCTCTCTGCAATTCTCTAATGCCAATCAGCATTTCTCCATGGTGACTGTTTATCATGAAGTCACAGGTAATGTCAGGGCTTGCTTGGCAGGCAAGCTGGCTGCTAACTACTTCTTTGAGGTGTCTTCCAACCAGGTTGATTCTATGATTCTACTGTGTGTGCAAATGTTCCCCTTGCTTTAAAGGCTTTTGCTGTGTTCAACTGGTAGCTGCAAAGGCTTAATGAGAGCCTTAAGAAAAGCAGCTTCTTCCCAGCACTAACAGAAGTGAAGCAGTGCCGTGTTAGCCTGCAGTGGCTAATGCAATGACACACACAGATGGAGGAACTGTGCATTTTTAGGCTGTGAAACTCTTTGGTTTTAATGCTTTGTAAATTTGCTTATGTTAGATACAGCTCTAATTTTTGTTCTCCTAGCAGAATAAAACCAGGTACTTGAGGAGAATGTCTGGAACAAGCAGACACTAGAAAGCAAGTGGCTGTAAAGAGGCAGTCAGAGGGGCAGTGAACAGCACATGATGTCTGTGAGCAAGGATGGCAGGGGAGACTTGACTTCTGCCAACAGAAAATGTGATTAAGTTTTAACAAGACATCAAGCATTTCTTTTCTGTCTGTAATCTCCAGAAGCTGAATACTGCAGTCCTATCAAAATATTGCCTCTATTAAAGATGAGATGGTGGACCCAAATGCACTAAAGGCAAGCAGCAGGCAAAGGGAGTGAACTCAAGGCTCAATGAGTTTTTAGAAAGGTTCAGAAGCAGTGTGTGCCTAGATTTACTGCTCACACCAAAGCTGACAAACCAAGACTTCTCTCAAAGACTGTTTTTAGTAATTTGCCTCATGTTCATAGGTCACCACCTCAGACTGTACTTAATGATGCAGTATTTGGTTACTTTCACAGGTTGCTCTGGTGCTCTAATACGAATTTTTCACACTTAGTAAGAGTCATCAAGGTTTAGCTCATCCTTTCAGAGGCTAAAAGACACCGAAATGAATTGTGATCACTTGATTTTTTTTTTCCTCTCTGCAGTCCTTGAGTCCTTAGCAACACAGGAGGACTCCCTTGCTCTCTATTTCATCAGCACTTTGACATTTTAGTCACATCTTGCTTTGAAGTCAGTCATGTGCTGACAGTGACAGAGAGTTACAATTACCAACCCTGCTGGAGATATAAAAGCAATGTCCTCAATTGCAAAGGATGTTTCTTAAAATTATAATTAGGGTCTCCATGGGTGAATTGTTTTATAATTTAACATAATACATATTGTTTTTCTTGACATAAACAAGATGAGGCACTATGGCAACAAGGACCTCTGCCACTTCAAATTAGTAACTGTGTCAGTATTAACTCTAAATCAGCTAACTGCACTAAGAAAAGTGATTTAAAAAGCACATTCCTAGTTTATTTTCTTACCTCTATACTTCCTACAGTAATGTCCAGCCACACACTGTAGTTATAAATCCTTCCCATGATTGTACTGTATGAGCAGTAGGCATGAGACTTGTGAAAACATCCTCTCATTTTCTGTATTTCTCCTGAAAATGAGACTGCAAACATTCAACTGAACAAAACCAGGTGGAAAATAACAGCCAAATAACTCTCTTTCTCTCTGAATCAGCCACTGCCTGTGCTCAGGCTGCCCCAGCTGGGCCTGTCCAGCTGCAGCTTCAGCTCCTGCACTGGCACAAGGCAATGCTAGAGAGGTCATTTCAGAATCTCACCAGTTCCACAAATCAGGCTTGGAGGAGCCTCCTAGTTAAACTGTTGTGTCTAAAATGTAATTAAACTGACTCTTCAGCTCAGTATTTCATACCTCTCACCACATTTAAATATCTGTAACACCCTCTAGGGAACAATCCTGTATGTGAGTGTAAAAACCTGATAGGATGCATTGCTCCTCAGGCAGCAGGAGTAATGTTCAGTGTGTTCCTCCCTCTTCAGGTGCTAAAACTAACTCTTTTTTCTAGATAACCTATGGCATGGATTATAATGTGCTAAACTAAATATTTAGGTAATTAAAACAGGTTAATTGCATGAATACTTTTTTTTAAAAAAACAAATCTGATACACTTGCTAAAAAAAAAAGAAATGGATTGTAGCACATAAACTTCTCTTTATAGAATTTATTTATAAAGACTTATTCCAGTGAAGAAAATACACTTTTTAGGCACTCTACATTGCATTTGAAAATCAAAGCTCTCCCCTTGCCTAGGAATCAACAAAGTGACTTCTGGAAACTTTTCTGTACAGAACATCCTCCCCATGCAATTATTCCAACTTCTGAACTATGGCAAGAATATCTGTTAATTGAATGGTGCTTACATTTAAAAATGAAAATACTTGCTTCATGTTCAGTTTCTGTCAGTGGTGTCTCTATTAGCCTCATTTACAGAGTTTTCATCATATGAAACTATGTAAGAGAAACTATAAAACTATGTAAGATCATAGAAAAAACTTATAACCAAGATAACAGAAACTCAAGCTGGGACTGCAAACCAGAATGTGTATTGCTGCTGAGGAAATAAAGCCTGGGCAATGGGAGAAAATATGACACCTAGGTAACAAAATATGATTCAAAGGTTGAGAAAAGACAGTGGAAGTCTGCTTATTTCATATTTTTTAGATTTTTCTATAGAGTAAAAATAATGCCCCACTTATATTGTCCAGAGAATAACAGAAACTACTAAATTTGTTGATTTTAAAATACCCTCTCAAATATAAAAGCACAATAGAAGTGAGTTAAAGGGTTATGTGGAAGCTAAACTCCCACACTTTGATACACTTTCTCTCTGATAAGAAAGTCTTATCTAGGAGCAAAGTGAGAATTCTCAGAACAGTACTTTGCAGTGATACATTACCATATTAGCTCTGCTCTTCTTCCATATTCCTCATAGGTCTCATTTTCAAAAAGCAAAACATGTCAACAACTTTCTTGTTATTTAGGACGCTAACAAACGTTGAGCTGTTCTGGGACACAGTGCAGGCACAAACCTGTATTTCAGCCCAGGGAAACTTTATGAAACTGGTTTTATTTATCTAATATGGGGAAAAAAATATCTTTTGACATAGCCTACTTTTGCTTAGCCAGCATATCCAGCAGCTCCTTCTCTATGCCTTGGCTGCTCAGTTCATCTAAACTGTAATATCTGTGAACAACCTTCTCCTCTGTCACAACCACCACGCGAAGGCCGTGCGTGTCCTCCCCCAGCTGACAGCCTATGGCTGAGGAAACCACCATCTCCATTCCTTTGTAGGACCCTCCAGCATTCCTGTGGTAATGTCCAGAAAACACAGCTTTAATGCCTGTTAAAACAAAAGGAGAGTATGTATTTAGTTAGTAGTTTACAGGTGTCATGTTTCCCTTCATTCTTCAATGGCTCATCGAGCTGAAAATGAAAACTAAACCATTAACCCAAACTTGCATTTCAAACAAATAATTAGTAAACAGTAATAAATAATTCTAATAGTCATAAATAATTAGTAAAACTCTATTCTGCTCCACCAGCTCTGTTTAGGGTTACTGGACTCTGACTTCTTTATTCTTACTGCTAGGTATGTCTGTCATCTCACTGCTCCTTTGGCTAGAAAATCAGGAACAATCTAGAGGAAGCTGATTAAAATGAGATATCTGCCTAAAGAATGATGAACATGACTGGAAAGGCAAGGAGACCAGAGCTGTGTTGTCAATTAACATGAAGAAAATTCACTAAGGAGAGCTTAAACCTGTTTACCCAAGGCCAGTGACCTTAAAAAAATAAAAAGGGCAAGACAAACAATAAAAAACAAATGAGAAGATAAGTTGTAATGTTTTCTCAAGACATTGGGGGTTACACAGATGGAATGGAGCCAGGTACATCAAAGAATCTAATAAAGCAGAAGAGGTGGTGAGTTATAAGAAGAGAGAAAGAAAGATGAGAACAGCCAGGAAAGGAATGGTTGGCACCTGCAAGAAGAGTCCAGCTTGGAATGACACGAGTTAATATTTATCTAGCATTGGGTATGAACAAGGCAGGTTTATCCTCATTCCCTCTGTGTTTTTAATGACTTAAGGCTGTTCTGTTTTGGGTTTTAAAATTTTTTTTAAACTAGATTTTGGACGGTTTTAAAATTTTTTTTAAACTAGATTACTTATATTTTGGACTGTACTGAAGTAAAAACCCCAAAACACTCCCATTATAAACTCGAAAAGAAAGAAATACATTTGATCTGTGCAGGAGATGACAATATGCTATTTATAAAATTTCTGGGGAGGTCACATGCAAGTACCATCCAAGCTTGGTCAGGAGTGGCAGAAAAGCTAAATGCCAAGCAGAAGCAGGTAAAGAGGACAAAGATATATCTAAGGCTTTAAAATATATGTGGAAATTCCTGACTGAATCATTGCCTGATTAGCCAAACACATGTTTAAGAAGTTCTACCATTCTTCCCCTTCTCTCAGAATATGGTAATTTAACAAAAAATTCATTATGTTTGCAAATGTTACCTGATTTTGACCAACTTCTAACTATCCATATGCCAGGTCTGTGTTCCTGCCATGCTCCTCAGTACCCAAGGGATGTTTTCAGAAATTTTGGAACAGTTTGAAATGAAATGAATTATGTGATCCTCACCTTCAAACCAGTAATTTCTACTTTTTGTTTCTTCTGCCTTGCAAACATGAACAGACAAACTGGTAGAAGCTGTATTCACTGCTCTGAACAGCCTTTCTGATTGTCTTTTGAAGTCCAATTCAAGCTACCAAATAGATTATTTTCCCCTTCATACTTACTAGTTTATAAATTTTAATCAAATGTTTTTATTACTACATAACAATGAACTCTTCTTTAGTCCCACGAGTCCAAAAAATAAAGAAAAAGCAATTTTGTTGCTAAGTACTTATCTTTCCTGCCAAAGTTGGCAAACCCATTAACAAAAGAGTTGAGAATCTTTCTTCCCCAAGAGAGAATGCACTACCACAGAAAAAGCTTTTCATTTCCAGCTTCCTCCTTCATCATTTAGAACTTCCATGCACTGACAGAGAGACCTGAGCATCACAGTCAACAGCATTCACAGTTTGGTCAAAGAATATTCACCAGCATTCTTAATAATTTAAGGTGGTTCACATTTTATTTTGAATGAAAACGTGGAGTTAGTATAAATAGCTAATTTTACAAACAGGATTTGGGATTATGTTCTGGCATGCTTAGCCTAAAATCCTTGGATTTCAGACTCTTACAGCTCCCTGAAGCTTCATCTAATGCTATTTTATACTGTTGTGAAGCAGAAAAATTGCTGGACCAGAGGGCTGGAAACACTGGAAATTTTGTGGTTTATCATGAAGTGCAAAACATGTAAATTAAATTTTACATTTTGTTACAGATCTGTTTAGATCAGATGTTGATTTATGATAATACTAATGACAATCCACAAATTTTCAAACCCATCTAAAGCATTTAGGTCTGATTTTTTTATCGAAATACAGTAAGTTGCACTAAACATAATGACACTTTAGTTGTACCACATAAAGCATCTGAAAACACGGGAATTTAATACTGAATGACTCAAAGTAAGAATTCCTTGACAACTCTGACTAGAGAGTCAGCAGGTTATCAAAATAACTGGCTACTTCATCCACCTGAGTCCTTCCTATCAGTTTGCTACGTTGGCTACAAAACTGCTGTGCTACAATAGAAAAATATGTCACTGGTGTATATATCACAGAATCATAGAATTTTAGGGACCTTACAGATCACTCCAGATGCTGTACCTTGCTGAATGGAATTTGTGTTTAGATTGAAAAATAAACTAACAACCAAAGGTGTAAACATGTGCCTTTTCCCAAGGAAAATGGCAGAGTGAAGCTCAGCACACATGAGGACACTTCTTTCCTCTGCACACAGCCATGGGCTTCCTCACCCTGGGCTAAAGGCTGTCCTTAAATCCACAGCACTGATAATCACCTTCCCAACCTCTGTTTTTATCATTACAGAATGAGGAAGGAGCCTATCGATACCCAGGAATGGAAACTGTGATGACAACTCCAAACTTCCTTTGGTACTGTTCAGAGATTCCAGCACTCTACCATTCCATGCTTAACACAGAAGGTAACAGTTGCTCAGTCCTGTCCCAGTGGTAGGCCAGAGTGGATAATTTGTGAGATACTACAACCTGAAATGAGATTTGAAAAAAAAAAAACCCCAACCAACCTAACAAAAATAAGGTACCAGCAACTGTTTTGCCCTGACAGCAAAATTTTGGGAGATAGAAGACACAATTTAAAGCCAGAGAGCTGTGCATAGAAACACACTATAACTTCTCTTGGAATTCCTTATTCCTCTAGCCAGAAAAACCTTCCACATCTCCTGCAGTAGATTTAGACCTCTTTCATCATGATTAAAAGAAAAGGGAAGTAGGTGAACCTGTCCTAAGACAGTTGGCCAACATCAACCCTTTGCATCTGTGGGAGTGAGTGATCTGAAGACTGATATAAATATACATAAACTAGGCTCAAGGTATAGTTAAAAATTAAGCAGCTTAGAAAGCAAAATATAAATTATTCTGCTGTGTGCCTGGGAAGAGCTACACAGCCTTTCATATTTCCAAATCCAAACCCTTCTCAAATAGCAAATGAGTCAAAGTGGAAAACAGAGAATGAAGCTACCTTTGCACTGAATAGGGGTATATGGTCCTTGTCAGCTACAACTTCTCTCTTGTCCTATTTTAGTGCATCAGTACTAATTATCCTTGCCAGTGTAACCTATTCATCTATCTGCTGTATGAGTTACAGCTGGATCAGGAAAATACCCTGACCAGATCCAGTCAGTGGTAGTGCTACTGTGGTAACAAAGCCATTTCAATAGTTTCTGCTTTTCCTGCAGATAAGCAAAACTCCTTTAGTCTATGAAAAAGTTTGGGAAAAGTAACAATCATAAAAGTGAGGCACAATCCCATGGGCCACACTTCTAGAAACAGAAATAAATACTTCGTAACGGAATTAAATGCTGCCTTTTTACTGGAAGCATCTGTGTCCTGAAAGTAGCATCTTCGTGCCATCCAGAGAATTTAACTTTTGGATTCAAAAGAGGAAAAGCCAAGGCTTCTGTCATCATATATGTAAACCAAACCCTGACTAAGTGTAATCAGAAAGACAGAAGATACAAAAGTAATAAAGCAACTTTAGTTACGCTAAAAATAAAGTAAAATTCCCCTTGTCTGAATTCAAGGGAAGCTTTTGAGAACCCCATCCTAGGCAGACAGACACCAGGTAAGAGGCTTGGCCTATCAATAAAGCACCTTTTATATTTCTGTGGCAAATACCTCAACTTCACTACAATCACATTTAAAGTTTGCTAACTGCCTGCACTCAGGAAGGTATTTTGGTATGGAACTGCAGTGAGTTGTAAGCAGTGTAAATATACCTGAGGCCAGCAAGGATGTGATTTAAAACCTCTTTTATCTCCTGGTGGCTACAGGAGACAGATTCTGCCTAAACAAGCTGGTGTTTACAGGCACAGTTCAGCCAAAATCCTCCTTTCAGCATATGTATGTTATTCAGATCCTAATTGCACTAGACAGGTGCTCAGAGCTGAAATGCCCTTGTAGATCTAACTACCTCTGCTAGAATTCAGTATCTGCTTTAGGTATCTCCCAGGGAAAATTCTGCCAGGAGTTCAGTTTTCAGGTATTCTTTATTTCCAGAGCTAGTATTAGTTATTGTTGAGTTACAGTATGCTACAAGTTGAACAAAGAAACACAGGTCACTGCTGTGTATTAACAAGAGGTCTCACTGATGGTGTTTTTCCTACAATAGCACATTTCTGTTCCCTCAACTGTATTCCACTCACTTTTGTTAGTTAGCACAAGAAGGAAACCTGAACCAGTCAGTGCAATAATACTAAGATGACAAGCAGGCAATTTGCCTTGCTCTTGCTTTTGATCTTAAATACAAAAAGAATCTTAAGAGATGTATGCACTCAAATTTAATTTATTCACTTCAGATGTTTTTCTGAAGTAATATTGTCAACATTCTTCCCACGTTTCCCCCCCACCCCCAGCTCTGTGAGGGAAGAACAGTGCCCTGGTAGGCCTCATTTTTACAGCCTACTTTAATATTTCCTTGGGTCAGTTAACTGCATCCAGCTATACACTAAAAGGTACAGCCCTTTTCCCACTACAAAAGAAGAGAAAAAGGTAGAGCAGTGATTTGGTTTTAATCCCTGGTTTCTTAAACAGCAGCTGGGAAAAGCATTGCTATAAAAGCTGTCTGAAATACTAACAAACTCCTGTGTAAATAGATGTCCAAAGGATGGCACCTTCACAAGCAT